ACACACACAAACATACACACACACATACATACACACACACACACGCACACGCACACACATGGGCACTAACAAAACAAAGGATCTTGGAGTGACAGACCTGTCGTCAGAAGACACAGTCCCCCGAAACACCATGACTTCCTTCTCGGCAGAGATCATGGCGGTCACCAACAGCTCTTTGGTTTGGTTGGGATTGGGCGTGAAGCGAAGAGACGCAATGTTGTCGTACATCTGAAAGTGGTGGAACAAAAAATATATGTGAGGCAGCGTGGTGGAATCTCATCAAAATACTCAAAGTGAAGAAACCTGCATTTTTCCACAGGTTTGTGAATTTTTACCAAATTTTTGTTTTTTGGCTCAACACCTTTCATACCCATTAAAGAACTCATTTCTGCGTGGATTTTTCTGAAAAACGTTGATTAAAGGCACTAAAAATGTAAATTTCAGTTACCACGGACTCTTAAGCTTAGGAAATAACTAATCTTTTGCCGTCTTTTTTTCACTAATTTTACCTCTGAAAATAGGTGATCCCCACCTCCTTCATTCGCAAATATCTCGACTTGTATTCAAGATAAATGGATGTCTTTTTTCCATCCAAATAAAGACCAGTGAAACTGTTTTTAGATGATATCAATAACTCTACATGCCCAAAAATTGACGAGAGCCTGATCCCACCACGCTGCCTCACATAATATATAATAAACCAGCTGGGTCCCCTTTCGATGAAAGGAATGACCGGCGCATTAACATCAACTGAAAGTCATTGGCCTACTACTATAGTTACACTCTACTTGAATGAAGCAATAAATCTTGAGAGAAAAGTGACATACTTGTTTCCAAGTAGCCAAATATTAAGAGATGATTGGATGGATAAAACATAATAATAATATACTAAAAATCATGTCTCACACTGTCAGAAGAAGGGTTGGGGGAAACGGGTGAGAGGGGGGGGGAGGCGGTTGAGAGGAGAGGCGGGATTGGGTTGAGTATAAGTAAAATGAAGTAAGTATCTAATTGTATCGCAAAAACACCTGCAACTGAAAATTGAAATTGAAATAATCCGCATGAGTTTCCACGTACTTTGATGATGTGTTCCTGTACACACTCGGGGTCGGAGGACCCGAGGATACTGAGGAGCTCGTCGTCAGAGATGAAGAAAAACCTGCAACATGTCATGTCTTGTTTTAGTAGAGGTTTTACGGCGCTCGCAACTGCATAAGGTCATATGAGTGCCAAGGGGTGGATGTCAACAGAGAAGGCCAAACGAGGAATCAGGCTTACTCTGCTCACCTCTCTAGCCTCAACAGCACAAAGTCTGCCTCGACTATCCCCGGAAATAGCAGTTCACAAGACAGTGACAACCATAGAAAAGAAGTAGAGGGAAAAATGACGATAGTAAGGATAAGGAAAGAATAAGCAGCAGTTCCCCCTAAGATGTTCCGGCACAGTATGAGCATGACATTGATAAATCAGCCCATTTATAACTCTACTGTGCATAAGAACATGTTAATATCCCCCCC